CCCAATAAAAAGTAGTTTACCATGCTCGCTTCGGCTGCACATAGACTAAAACTGGAACGATACAGAGAAGATTAGCATGGCCCCTGTGCAAGGATGACACGCAAATTCGTGAAGCGTTCCATATTTCTGACTCTGTCCAAGGAGGAAGAGACCAAGAAATAGAGCTTCCCTCATGTCTGTATGTAGTGAGCTGCCTATGGCCTCAGGTGGATCAGTCATTAAAATAAAACAAGCCTTTAAAAAGAAAGGGTAGTTTAACAAAAAATAACTTTATAATCACCAAAATAAATGAGTCAAATCAAGCTTTGGAGTCAATCTCAGAAGGCCAAGCCATCAACAAGTTAAGATGTCAGGGAGACCTTGTCTAAAATAAAACAAACTGTGCAACAATGGCTCATGCCTGTAATCCTAGAACCAGGAAGCTGAGACAAAGGATTTCTGAGTTTGAAGACAGTCTGTTTCCAAAAAAAAGAAGTGGGAAGGGGACACACTATGAATTCTTCTGCTGGTCTAACTTTTGGTAATTACTGTTACCACTAGATGGCAAGCAAAGAAAAGGGGCCAGATAATCTGAGATATTCCAAGTACAGCAAGAAATAAAATACTGACACTTTAAGAATAAAGGAAAAACTGAAAACATACAAATACTGAGTATTATAAAGAAAGGGGGGAAGGGTGGTTTACAAAGGTCTTAATGACACTATTGCCAAATAGACCTTTAGATTTACTGATTCAGGATCCCTAGTGATAAGAGCCAAGAATCTATACTTTAATAAGCATCCTAGGCATACAGTAATACCCTGAGAGTAAAACATTAGCCAACAGTTATCACAATGAATGAAGCTACATTAAGCCAAATGCAGTAATAGTTCATGCTGTAACTGTAACCCTTGCAACTAGGTTAGAACCTGTCTCACAAAAACAAAACAAAAATTAGAGTGAGTCTTCCAAATTAGCAATTTGAGTTTCATATTCCAAAATCCACCCCTTTACAGTTCCTGAAATGACTGAACCTAGCCAGTCATGCCTTTTACACACTAGATAAGCACTCAACCATTAAGCTACACCTCCAGCTTCCCACTGTGGTTTTGGACTACTAATGATGTTAAGACTTCTGCCCCATGTTCTTTCTAGTTGCTATTTTGACTGCTCTCTTTGGAGGATGAACTGTGTTCAGATACTTGGGTGGGCCGCCTAATTTTTCATAAATTGTTAAGTGGCCAATTATGAGTTATTTTTAAGAACCCAACAAATTCACCAGCAAGAATGAGTCCAGGGTCTAACCTCCTCTGTCTATTGAGTGCTTTATGAAACCTTCCATGTCAGTTATCCTTATTCTTTTAATATCACCCTACCTAATCTTAGTCTTCTTCAAAGCTATGCACAAAAGCTGCCTGATCTCCAACTCTGGACCAACCTGGCCATTCAAGGATTCCTACTAACTCATTGACATAAAATTCCTCACTCAACATATCTAGCATTTCATGAAATCTCTGCAGCAAGGACTTCATCAATTCTAAGTAAACATTTCTGTAGCAGGGTAAGGCTGTCATGTATCTGCAGCTGACGTGATCAAAATTTTTGAACCAGAGAACTGAAACTCATGACTGGATCACTACTTGGGGGTAAATAGGCCTCCTCTTCCCACCATGATTCTAGGGATCAAACTCAGATTTTGTGAGACTTCATGGCAAGAACCTTTACCTGATGAGCCATTTTGCAGACCATGAACACATTTTCTTAAACTATTTTTTTTGAGGGGCAGGGGAGTATAAAGCAGGGTCTTGCTAGGTAGCCCAGGCTGGCACCAAACTTGCACAAATCATCTAACATTTGTCTGAGTGCTGAGATTAAAGGAATGCCCCACTCCATTTCACTTTTTTTTTTTTTTTAAATGCAAGTGTTTTGCCTGCAAGTATGTCTATGAACTACATGCATGCTTGGTACCAAAGGCTAGAAGGCAGCATCAGATCCCTTCAAATTGGAGTTGCAGATGGCTGTGAGCTGCCATAAGAGTGCTGGGAAGGCAGGGCGGTGGTGGCGCACACCTTTGATCCCAGCACTCGGGAGGCAGACCCAGGCAGATCTCTGTAAGTTTGAGGCCAGCCTGGGCTACAAAGCAAGATCCAGGAAAGGAACCAAAACTACACGAAGAAACCCTGTCTTGGGGGAAAAATAAAAAGTGCTGAGAAAAGCAGCCAGTGCTCTTAACCACTGAACCATCCATCCAGGCCCTCTATGAGACTTTTGACAGCTTGAAGACAAGGAGTGCTGGCTAAAAAATCACTAATGCATAAAAATTCTGAAACATAATCTCCAGACATCAATAGGCATGTTAATCAAACACACTAGACCTGTTGTGTTCTGAGTCATTTTTCATTCACTGTGTGGTAACAGTCTAATAATTAGATAGCCACTACACTGAACAACTATCTGAGACAATTTTATGGTTTTAAGGTTGCTGCTAAGATTATCAAATGTCATTTGCCTTCATTTAATTTACCCAATCCCATACACACATACCTTTTGTTGCTATGCTGGGGACAGAAGCTACAGCCAAGTGATCTACCACTGAGCTACCAACATCCCCAGAGCTCTCACTCTGAATCTTGGGGTTCTTTGGTCTCTCTCTCTCTCTCATTCATTCATTCATTCATCTAACTCATCCACTTAAAGCACCTTAATGGAGGCACTATTTCAAACACTCTCCTCTCCATGTATTACTATGATCAGTCTTCTTAAAAGATCTTCCAACACCCAAGCTGTGATGGAGTGAGTTCCAGGATAACCAGGAGTACACAGAGAAACTCTGTCTCAAACCCCACCCACCCAAAAAAAGTTGGGCGGTGATGGCACACACTTTTAATCCCAGCACTCTGGAAGTAGAAGCAGATGGATCTCTCTGAGTTCTAAGGCCAGTCTGGTCTACAGAGCAAATTCCAGGACAGGCAGGGCTACACACAGAGAAAGAAACCCTGTCTTGAAAACCAAATGAACAAAAGGAAAAAAAAAATCTTCTGACACCCAGCAGGTTGGGTCTCTACACATCCCTGGCTGTCCTCAGATATGCCTCTCTCTGCCTCTGTTGGGATTAAAAGTATGCACTGCCACCACCCAGCTCAAGATGATAAATCTTAACTTCTCCCAAATGGAAAAAACGTTCACCAACTATTTCATAATTTTAAAGACAGAAAACTGAAGCCAAATGTAATCTGCTTAAACCCCCAGCAATAAAACCGAACAACATAAGTCCTGAGTACAAGGCCAGCTGAGGTTACAGGAGAGGGGGAGAGAGAGAGAGAGAGAGAGAGAGAGAGAGAGAGAGAGAGAGAGAGAGAGAGAGTGTGTGTTTAAGAGACAGAAAGATGCCGGGCAGTGGTGGTGCACGCCTTTAATCCCAGCACTCAGGAGGGAGGCAGAGGCAGGCGGATCTCTGTGAGTTCGAGGCCAGCCTGGGCTACAGAGCGAGTTCCAGGAAAGGCACCAAAACTACACAGAGAAACCCTGTCTCGGAAAAAAAAAAAAAGGAAAAAAATAAAGAGACAGATAGGGGAGACAGAGAATATGAGAATCATCACAGACCGTGGTTTTTTGAGACAGAGTGTCTTAAGAGTTTTCTACTGTTGTGAAAAGACACCATGACCACAGCAACTCTCATACAGAAAATATTTAATTGAGGGGGCTCCCTTACAGTTTCAGAGGCTCAGTCCATTATCATCATGGTGGGGAGCATGATAGCATGCAGGCAGATGTGGTGCTGGAGGAACAGCTGAGAGGTCTACATCTCGGAGCCAACAGGAAGTCAACTGACTCACTGAGCAGTATCCTGACCATAGGAAACCTCCCCTATAGCAACACACTTCCTCTAACAAGGCCATACCCACGCCAACAAAGCTATACCTCCTAATAGTGCCACTCCCTGAGATTATGGAGGCCAATTATAGTCAAACTACCATACAGGGTTTCTCTGTGTAACAATTCTGGCTGTCCAGGAAATAGCTTTGCAGACTAGGCTCACCTTGAACTCAAAGACATCTGCCTGCCTCTGCCTCCCAAGTACTGGATTAAAGGCATGCACCACCACCGCCCAGCAAAAATAAATATTTAAAAAAATAAAAATCTGGCCGGGCGGTGGTGGCGCACGCCTTTAATCCCAGCACTCGGGAGGCAGAGCCAGGTGGATCTCTGTGAGTTCGAGGCCAGCCTGGGCTACCAAGCGAGTCCCAGGAAAGGCGCAAAGCTACACAGAGAAACCCTGTCTCGAAAAACGAAAAAAAAAAAAATAAATAAATAAAATAAAAATAAAAATCACAATAATTGGGCTGGAGATATGGCTCAAAGATTAAAAGCATTTGCTGCTCTTACAGAGGACCTGGGTTTGGTTCCCAAGCACCTACACTGTACATATATATATATACATTCATGCAAACAAAACACACATATATAAAGTAAAAATATATGGCCAGTGCTCTTAACCTCTGAGCCATCTCTACAGCTTTCGTGTGTGTTTTAAGAGAGCCAATTAAGGAATGGAGAGATGGCTCAGAGGTTAAGAGCACCGACTGCTCTTCCAGAGGTCCCGAGTTCAATTCCCAGCACCCACATGGTGGCTCACAACCACTGTATATATAATAAATAAATAAATCACATTTTAAAAGGCTGTCAAAACCAGGAGGTGGTAGTTAATCCTGGCACTCGGGAGGCAGTCAGGCAGATCTCTAAGTTCAAGGCCAGCCTGGTCTACAAAAAGAGTTCCAGGACAGTCAGGGTTACACAGAGAAGCCCTATCTTGAACCACCCCACCCCCACACTCCCTCAAAAAAAAAAAAAAACATCTGTCAAATCAAGTATCATTAAAAAGAGCAAAGAAAAACTAGGCACCAGGCATGGTGATACATGTCTTTAATCCCAACACTTAGGTGGATCTGAGTTCAAGGCCCTCCTGGTCTATAGATCCGAGTCCTAGGACAGCCAGGGCTATGCAGAGTATCCCTGTCTCCAAAAAAAAAAAAAAAACAAGCAGAGATAAACTATTACTTCTGAATTTAAGTCAAATTGACTGGTTTATGTTTTTTAATTTCTATGATTAATGGTAAACAATAACAAACCTATTTGAAACAGGCAATTATAGATGCTTTTGGCAAAAAGCATTAGTAGTCACTTAAACCTATTAAGTAATAACTACAATGAGGATGAGGGCTGGCAAGATGGCTCATCTGGTATAGACACTTGCAACAGATACCAGGTGACCTGAGTCTGATCCTTGGACGCCAAGGTAAAGGTGGCTAGCAGAGGTAGAGAACTAACTCTACAAAGTTGTCTTCTGGTATCTCCACATGCACACACCCCGTTCATACTCACAGTAAGACCAGAATGAAAGCCTGACATTTGGTCATCATTTTGTATCTGTCTTCTTTACTTGGAAGAAGGCAAGGGATAAGTAACTGCCTTTAACAGTCACCTTGGATACCAGGGAGAACAAAACCTCAGCACACGACCTCAGACCTCCAAAGTGGAGAGCACCCTGGAACCTTGTATGAACCAGACTGGCCCCCTTGACAAAGCTCAACCAAACCACACCCTCATTTGCTGTGCTTGCCACTACCATAATTCTTCTTTTATTTAAAGGCCTAAAGGACAGGCGGTGGTGGTACACACCTTTAACCTCAACATTCGGGAGGCAGAGCCAGCCAGTTCTCTGCCAGCCTGGTCTACAGAGCAAGTTCCAGACAGCCAGGGCTACAGAAAACCCTGTCATGGGGAAAAAAAAGGGGGGGGGAGGGTAAGAAAAGAAAAAGGCAACAGTGAGAAAAAACATGGAACCATGTGAACAATGCAGTTATCAGTCAACAGGAAAGGAGCAAGATTCCATAACCTCTGTTCATCTGTTCACATCTCAAAACTATATGCCTAAGACATCTACTGAAAGGAAGAAGGGCTGGAGAGAGAACTCAGCAATTAAGAGCAGTTGTTCTAGCAGAAGACCTAGGTTCAGTTCCTAGGATCCACAGGGCAGCTCACAGCTATTCCCCAACACCAGTTCAAGGGGTCCTGATACCCAGTCTTCTGATCTCCAGGCACACAAGTGGTGCACATACATACATATGGGCAAACACACATATATAATTTTTTGTTTGTTTTTTTCGACACAGGGTTTCTCTGTGTAGTTTTGGTGCCTGTCCTGGATCTCACTCTGTAGACCAGGCTGGCCTTGAACTCACAGAAATTCACCTGGCTCTGCCTCCCCGAGTGCTGGGATTAAAGGCGTGCGCCACCACCGCCCAGCTACATATATAATTTTTTAAAAAAAATAGACGACCATATAGCTATAAGAATCAATTAAGTTCCTAAAGTTTTCCATCTAGCTATGTATTTGTCTGAGATGGAATCTTACCTAACTCAGGCTAGCCTTGAATTCTGCTATGTAGTAGGATGCCTCCGCCTACGAAATGTTGGGATTATAGGCATGCATACATGACAGCTTTTTTTTGTTTATTTAGGATTATTTTATGTATATGAGTGTTATGCTTGCATGTATGTCTGTTTACCACATGCATGCCTGGTGCCTGAGGAGTTCCAAAGAGGACACAGGATCCCCTGGAACTGAAGTTATAGATGGTTGTGAGCCTCTATGTAAGCGCTGGAAATCAACCCTGGGTCTTCCATGAGAGCAGCAAGTGCTCTTAAATGCTAAGCCATCTCTCCAGCCCATCTGTTTATTTTTAGAGTCAAGGTAGTCTGGAATTCTCTATGCAGCCAAGGATGACACTGACTCCTGACCTTCCGCCTCTACCTCCTGAATAAAGTCATTAGTCTTTTATAAAGCTTTTAGTTCAGCTAACTCTGATGCATGCCTACAATCAGCACAAGTCAGGCAGAGGTATCAGGAGTACCAGTTCAAAGTCAATCTGGGCCACATGGTAAGACCTGTGCCCTCAACCCCATAGATAAATTTAGGTATATACACAAAGCAAAACTTAGTCCAGGCACATCGTAGAGCACATGGGCACCCCTGAAGTTCCAGCTACTGGAAAGGCTAAGGAAGACAACTTGAGCTCCCTCAGAAACATATATCCCCTCCAAATAAATAAAAATAAAATAAAATAAATCAAGCCTAAGCAACATAGTGAGATCTCATTTCATTCAAAACATAGAAGGGGCCCAGTGAGATAGCTTGGTGACCCGAGTTCGATTTCCACAGCTTGAGAGGAGGAAGGAAAGAACTTTCGCCAAGTTATCCTGACTTCCACATGTACACCATCATTATTGCTCATACATGTGTATGCATCATATACATACTCACACAAGTGTAAGAAAAAGCTTTATTTTTTAAATTACTTTTATGTGCATGGGTGTTTTGCCTGCATGTATGTCTACATCACACACATGCAGTACCCTTAGAGGCCAGAGGTGTCAGATTCTCTGGGACTGGAGTTACAAACAGTTGTGAGCTACCATGTTGGTGCTGGGAATGGAATCCGAGTCCTCTGAAAGAGCCAAAAGAGCTCCTAACCACACACCAAGTGGACTCTCCAGCCCCAGGGGAAAAAAACGTTAGAACAACAGTAAGAGGCAAGAAAGTCTGAGGAAAGCATTTGTCTAGCGATCTTTTTAGAAGTCCTCTAGGTTCAATGCCCAGTACAGTAAAATTTGCTAATTCCAGATTGGAAAGGCTGAGTCAGGACCACTTGAGGCCAAGAATCCAGCCTGGGCAACAATGAGATTTCACTCAAAACTGAGCTTTTGCTCAGTGGTAGATTACTTGTGTAACTAGTGTGTGCAAGGTCCTATGTGCAATTCCCAGCACAACAAATGGTTTGCAATCCCAGCAGCTAAGAAATGGGAGAGACAAGAGGAGGATTCCTGGAGCTTGCCGGCCACCCGCCATAACTTACTTTATAAAGTTATAGGCTATTAAAAATAGACTATCTCAAAGAGTGGGAAGGCACCTGAGGAATGACATCTGAGGTTGTCCTCTAATGTACACATCAAAAATAATGTTTCAGTCTATAAACTCACTGGACAAAATTGCTTTCAGAAAAGCAATTCCTCAGCGCTCAAGAAATGAAGCAAAGGCAAAAGGATCTCCAGTTTGAGGCCAGCCTATGCGACAGGAAGAAGCAGGGGTGGGGTGGAGTAGGGAGGTGGAGAGGAAGACAGAGGGGGAGGGGAAAGCAAGCAGGCAGAGGCAACTCTTCAGTCCCTATGTAAGAAAAACAGGTCCTGAGACTAAGGAATGGCTGCCTTGCTCCCATTTCATGATGGCTGAGGTTCAGCTGCCCCACATTCCACTATCTCCTGTTGTCTCACCACTGGAAAATATACTCAACGAGCACACTCATCTTCGTATAAAAGCAGCAAGACTCAATGAAATTAAGCCAAAAGGCTGTTCCAAGTAACTTTATGTACTTATTGTGTGTGTATTCACTTATGTGCAATTTTACAAGTACATGTGGAGAACCTCAGCCACCCTCAGATGTCATTCCTCAGCAACCATCCATCTATCTTGGTTTTTCTTTCTTTCTTTCTTTCTTTTTTGGGGGGAAAGGGGAGCAGGGCAGGGGGTAGGGCTAGGGGTTCAAGACATAGTTTCTGGGTAGCCATGGATGTCCTGGAACTCACTCTGTACTCCAGATTAGCTGAATTCAGAGATCCACCACCAGGCTCCCCCTTGGTTTTTAAAAACAACTTCTCTCATAATCCTAGAGCTCAGCAATCAGGGTAGGGTGACCGGTCAGGAAACCCCAAGGGATTCACCAGTCTCTGCCTCCCCAGAGACGGGATGACAAGCATACTGGAATGACAAGACAAGCAACAGACCTTTTGACAGGGTGCTGGGGCGTAAACTCAGTGTCTGTGATTGCATGTCAAGCACTTGACAGACTGAGCTATCTCCCCAGGCCCCCAAAGCAATTTCCACATTATAAAATTAAAAACTAAGAATAGTGCTTCAATGAGAGGATCAGCAGTTCAGGGCCGTGTAGGCAAAGAAGAAGCAAGTTCAAGGTTAGCCTGAGTGAGCTATGTGAGACTCTGTTGAAACAGAGGAGGGAGGAAAAGGAGAAACAGCCTAGGTTTTGACTGATGTTTATAATACTGCACAAATTATCAAGTGTGAAGTGGAAGGAATACCATCTTTAGAGTAAAACACACTTGACTAAATAACAGTAATATTACCCATTTGTCCTCATTTTAAAACAAATTTTTTGGAGGGTGGCAGCTTGAGACAGGGTTTCTCTGTGTAACCCTGACTGTCCTGGAACTTGCTTTGTAGACCAAGCTGGCCTAGAACTCAGAGATCCTCCTACCCCTGCCTCCTGAATGCTGGGATTAAAGGGGTGTAACACCATTGCCTAGCTAAATCTTTATTTTTTTTTTTAGATTTTAAGTGCATGTGTTTTAAAAACACTTACTTTTATGTGTTTGTGTTCCTGGGTGTGTGTATGTGCACTCGGTGCATGTGTGACTGTGAAGACCAAAACAAGATGTCAGATTCCCTAAACCGGAATTATGGCAACTGTCAGCCACTACGTGGGTGCTGGGAACCAGGCCTGAACCCTCTGCAAGACATGGCAACAACTGAGCCATGTCTCCAGCCCCCTCACTTGAATATTTATCTGAAGAACGAGTGGCACCTGCTTTACACTGCTGTTTCTTTTTCTTGAGGCAGGATCCACTATGCAGCCTCAGCAGGCCTAAAACTTGCTACTTAGACAAGGCTGCCCTCCAACTCCAAGATCTCCAGGCTCTGCTCCAAAATGTTTTGATTAAAGGCTTGTTTTATCCTGGTTATTCAAAAATGTCATGATCATTTGGGAGGCAAGGGCAGGAGATCGCTTCAAGTTTGAAACCAGCCTGGTCTTCTACATATACAGTTCCATGTCAGCCAGGGTGACATAGTGAACCTCTTTCTATTGCTAAGGTCTCACATAACCCAGGCTGGCCTCAGTACCATCAGAGCCCAGCTGGACTATTTTGAGCCATGACAGAACAGCATTTAAGAGTAGTAGTGCCAGGAGTGCCAGGAGGTGGTGGCACAAACCTTTAATCCTAGCACTAATCTGCCTCCTCAGGAGGCAGGGGCAAGAGGATCTCTGAGTTCAAAGTCAGCCTGGACAGCCAGGGTTACAGAGAGAAAGCCTGTCTTGGGGGAGAGGGGAAACTAGCTTGTCTTACTTAGGGTTTCTATTGCTGTGAAGACACACCATAACTCGTATGTTTTACATAAAGGAAAACATTGACTGGGGCTGACTTACAGTTTCAGAGGTTTAGTCCATTATCATCATAGTTATCATCATGGTGGGACGAGGCAGCATGCAGGCAGGCACAGTGCTAGAGAAGGAGCTGTGGGTTTTACATCTTTATCTGCAGGCAGCACAAGGAGTCTATGTCCCACACTGGGTATAGCTTGAACATATGAGACCTCAAAGCCCGTCCCCACAATGACACACTTCTTCCAATAAGGCCACACTTCCTAACAGTGCCACCGAGTCTATGAGGGCCATACCTATTCAAATCGCCACACAGCTCATGTAAGACAAAATAAAACCAGCATATTTGCTTCTTAACACCGTCAAGTTGATTAGCTGGTAGGCCAGCTAGCTCTACTGTCAGCAAGTACAATTTCCTTGACTTTTCCCAGTGCCACTTTGGAAAGGGTTCCATTTTTCTTTTGATCTATTTTGTTTCCTACCAAATGCAAAATTTGAAGAAGCCAAAATTCTCAGGACTCAGATCTACAATATCTGTGGTAGAAGAACAAAGCTTAGTAAGTTTTATGGGTTTTTTTTTTTGTCTTGATGATTCCTTTTGTCTTATGTGCACTGGTGTTTTGCTTACATGTATGTGTGTCGGATCCTCTGAAACTGGATAAAGTTGTGAGCTGCCATATGGGTGCTGGGAACTGAACCAGCCAGTGCTCTTAACTTCTGAGCCATCTCTCTAGTCCTGGGAAATTTTCATTTAAGTGTGAAAACTAGCCTGGGTATAGTGGCATGACTGGAAACAAGACCCGGGTCTCAAAATAAAAATTAAGCCAGGCATGGTGGCACACAGCAGAGGTAGGTGGATCTCTGTGAACTGAAGGCCAGCCTGGGTCTACATGGCAAGTACCAGGCTAGCTGGGTATGGTGGAACACACATGTGATATTCCACTGCTTCAGCAGAGGTGACAGAGTGACTGTCACAAGTTTGAAGCCAGCCAGGCCCACAAAGCAAGCAGCAGACCAGCCAAGAAGAGAGACCCTGTCATCGCCAAGAATAAAAATAGGGACTGGGAAGACAGCTCAGTCCATCAAGTGCCCGCAACACAAGCGTGAGGACTTGAATTCTAGCTTCAAAACTTACACTAAAAAAGAAGAAAAAAGAAACCCAGTAATGTCAAATGGCAAGTTCATACCAACTGTTCCAGCACAATCATGAATTAGTATTTCTTTTTTCCTAATACATCCGGGATTCATGATAAATTTTGAAGACCCCTTTGTCATCACTTGCTTCTAGTGAGCTGAAACAAGCCCCTGGAAGTACTCTTGCAGGCCTGGTTGAGCATCAGCATTTAGTTACAGAATGAGCTCAATCCATAAAGTTATGTGGGCAACTCCATCTTACCAACTTGGATGTAACAGTACTTAACTGTAGCAAACAAGCCACAGAAGAAATAACTACATTGTAGTGCTGCAACTCGATACCTTCTGGTACTCAAAAACAACTTTTAACACATGAATTTATTGAACCAAAATTTCAGTTGAGTGTACCAGACAGAAATATTTAAACACTTCCTAGACCTGGGAAGTAGCTCAGAAGTAGAGCACCTGCCTATGGTGCACATGGCCCTGGGCTCCCCAGGACCCGAGAATAGTAAATAACCGATTCTCTTGACCAAGCTAGCAGAACAGTTCTCAAAGGCCCATTTTCATGTGCTTTTGCTTTTATTCCCCCAGGCAGCGCATTAACCCAGCGCACTGCCCGTGTTTAGCAGGCACTCAATCACTGAGTCAACATACTCAAGCCCTGCTTCTACTTTAAGACCAAGTCTGGCTTAATTGCTAAAATTTACATCCTCCTGCCTCAGCCTCCTACTGGGGTTAGTCATGAGCTCCAGTGCCCTGCTTCAGAACTTTTTTAAGGAAAGGTGAGAAGAGGATGGAAGAGCTGGCTCACAGCACACACACGGTGGCTCACAACCACTTTAAGTCCAGTTCCAGGAGATCTAATGTCCTCTTCTGACTTCTGCAGGAAGCGGGCATGCATGTGGTACAAGGAAGGCGAAACATTCACACAGAAAATAAAAGCAGTTCTTTAGGTAAAAAGAGGGCCTGTGAGACAGTTCAGGTAAAGACACCCACCGTCAGCCTGACCATCTGAGTTCAATCTCCAGCACCTACATGGTGGAAAGAACAGTTTTCCATTAATTGTCCTTTGACCTCCACACACACCACAGCACATGCCGACCCACACGTAACACACATAGACGGCTGGGCATAGTTTCTAAAGCCTTTAATCCCAGCACTCAGGAGACGGAGGCAGTTGGATCTCTGTGAGTTCAAGGCCAGCCTGACCTACACACTGAGTTCCAAGACAATCAGAGCCACATAGTGAGACCTTGTCTGGAAAAAAACAAACAAAACAAACAAAAACCAGACATACAAATTTTTATTTAATAAAACTTAATAAAAATTAAAATAAACAGAATGCTTAGAGAACATCCACTGCAGTTTAAAAAAAAATCACTTCAAATACACAGCGATTCAAAAACAAAGAATATGCACAGTACTGTACAAAAAAATTAAAGTGTAGCTGTGGGGTGGTGGCGAACACCTTTAATCCCAGCACTCAGGAGGCAGAGGCAGGCAGATCTCCGTGAGTTCAAGACCTGCCTGGTCTGCAGGGCAGAGTTCCAGGACAGCCAGGACTACATAGAGAACCCTGTCTCAAAATAAACAAACAAACAAACAAAAAAAAAACACCTGAAATGTACAAAAAGAGCATCCCTTTATTTTTAGAGAGAGGGAGCTGAGACAGTGTCATGTAACCACAAATTCACTACATGTAGCTGAAGCACTTGGGAGGTACAAATGAGGACCTCTGTGAATTCCAGGCCAACATAAGACCCTACCTCTAAATAAATGAGTAGATAAATGAGTGTGTGTTCTCCATCCTTCCCTAACTAGCACAGTATGTTCTTAGAAATGCGGCTTTGATGTTTTAAACTGCTCTCAAGTCAATGACTCAGAACAGATGCATTTCTGGTGTTTCAGTATTTAGAGTGACCCAAGTGACTAGGGGTAGGGTAGGGGGCACACAAGCCACACCCCACAGGGCCAATTCTTTTTTTTTTCTTTTTTAAAAGACAAGAGTCTGATCTAACTCTGGCTGGCCTGATGCTGCCTGCACCTGCCTCCTGAGTGCTGGGACTGACATGCCACTCCACCTGGTTATCTGTCTTTTTCAGACAGGACTGCATAGCTCAGGCTAGCCTGAACTCCAAGAGCCTCTTCCCTTGTCTTCTAAGTGTAGTTTAAAGGGATGTGCCACCATACTAAGCCCCAGTGAGCCAATCCAAGCAGGATGAAGATTATTAGGGAAGGACAAAAAACAAAACTACCACACAAGCCAAATATTAGCTATGTTGACCACTCTGATCCCAGAAAATAGAAAAAATACTCCTTTTTTGGACAGGTCAAACTCTGCTGTTTGGGAGGCTGAGGTAGGAGGGCAATGACAAGTTCAAGGACACCCTAGGCAACTTAGTGAGACTCTGTCTCATAGAGCTGGGTAGATATAGTTCCATGGTAGATCACTTGCCTAGCATGCACAAGGCCCCCAATTCAATCCCAGCAACGCACCCCTTAATTTTTCTATACTAATATTTTAATTATGTGTGAAAATTATGATTTGGTTGACTATGACGATAACTTGATTAATATGGCTACAAGTATACAAAAATATCTCTTAGACTACTGACTTGTTAAAGAGATTACTAAATTAGGCTGGGTGTTGTAGAGCATTTCCCAGCACTCATGAGGCAGAGGCAGAAGGATCTCCATGAGTTCGAGGCCAGCCTGATCTATATAATGAATTCTAGGACAGTCAGGACTCTTTTAGAAAGACCCTGTCTCAAAACACCAAGAGAGAGAGTGAGAAAAACATTAAACTTATTGAAGTGAACAGTCCTAGTCTCAAGCTTTGATATTTCCTATATAAACCCCCAAATGATTCTGTTCTTGGAACATAGCTTCTCACCTCCTCTTCCAAGACCATTAAATAATCTATATAGATTGATTTCAATTCCCTATGGAGAGAGTAAAAGATACTTTAGGCACCAGATTCTACATAGCATGCAAAATACAAGATAAACCTAGGACAGGAGCAAGGAAGGTCAGCTAAAAAGCCAATATTTACATGCAAGTACCCCAAACTCAGGATTCCAATGCATTCTTGCTACCCCTCATAGTTTACTTAGTGGTCACTCTATAGAACCACTTCTGTTACACAAACACACTGAATCAATGCAGTCGGTAAAGGAGCGATGACGTTTCCTGACTTCCTTCCCTCCTCTCCCTTCCTACTGGATCCCTTCCTCATGCCAAATCACAGAGGTGCTTCCTATTTCCTTCCCTCTTTTAGAGTCTGGAAGAGGACAGAATAACAAGTCAAAACCAAGTGGCTTGCACTCCTATGTTCAATAATCAACAAGGCCAGGCTTGGGTCAAAAACAGTCAGCACTCATATCGCAACTATGATTTGAAATTAACTTGGAAGCTACAATCATATAAGCTTCCAAATCCTTTCTAAAATGACTTTTAGAAACAAACCAAAAATGTTCCCCTATACCGGGGTGTATGTGGGGGGGAGGGTGTTATCACATTCACACAAAGCCTTAAATCCCCAGTCTTCCATGTAATTTCATGTTTCTTCCCAAGGACACTAGATTAAGGGGAGGTGAGAGAGAGAAAACCTCCAATGCTAGCAAACTCTCCTGGTTATAAACACACTAAAATGTAGGGCCAGGTAGTGGTGGCGGCAGCAGTGCACACCTTTAATCCAAGCACTCGGGAGACAGAGACAGGCGGATCTCCATGACTTTGAGGCCAGTCTGGGCTACACAGTGAGTTCCAGGACAGTCAGGACTTTGAGAAACCCTGTCTCAGAAAACCAAAAAAATAAAAACTCACACTAAAACGAAAGCTGACCTTGAGCTGCATTTATTTGTACTTTCCCCATCCCACCTCCTCCCACTCCCAACAGGAGCCCAGAACAGTGTAAACTGCAACTTCAGTCTTTAAGACAAAATTTAGTTCAGTATCTTTCCTAAATTGGAGGTTCTGAAGCCTGCTGTTCTACTTTCCAAATACTGAACAGTAATTTCCAACAAGACTCTAGGAGGACTAGTTCAAAAGCTGCCACAGGACCCAAGTGGCATTCAAGGAAAGGGGTCTGACCTAACTTTTGGAAAACAAGTGGCTTAAGTAATCTGGAAAAAACCTGAGGGGCAACAGCACTTAATCTCAAACATGTCTCATCCCATCCTAGCCACCAAACATTAAAATCTCATGGGCCTGTCTGCCTTAGTGCACATGCCTTTAATCCAAGCACTCAGGAGAAATACAGGTGGACCTCTATGAGATCGGGGCCAGCCTGGACTACAAACTGAGGTTTCAAGAGCAACCTAGTGAGACCCTATCTCAATCAATAAACAAACCAACCATAGGAAGCACATATGTGATTTTTCACTTTAAAATACTAGTTTGATGGATACTGCCTAACTCAAGTATCTAGGTACAAAATTAGGGGAAAGGAAGACATAAAAAATGCATATAAATTGCCTAAAACTGACTAAACACAATGGATATTTCAATGAAATACTGAAGAAAGACTAAATTCAAATTAGCACGATCCAAGGATATAACTAGTGACAGAAAGCACTGACCTAGCATGGACAAGGGCTTGGGTCCATCACTCAGGGTGAGTCGGGTGTCAATGAACAAAGAGTAACAAGTAAAATGTGTACATAAAACCATTCGCTTAAAATGGATAAAACAGAACTAGAATGTATCTAAGTATTTGAGCACTTGTGTTGCATGCATGCAACCCTGGATTCCAACTCCAGCCATGCAACAATGAAGTCATAAAACAGAAAAAAAAAAAAGAACACGATGTCATAATTCAAAATCCCCAAGCCTCAACTGAGTGTTCAAAATAAGCCAAGATCCCCAAGCCAAGCAACACACATTTTCCAAACTTGGGTTGTCAACCAAAGGAGTGTTACTAAACATTTTTCGAATTAACTATTTTTCAACAGGTCTTTCCATGTGTCATAATGCTGAGTGTGAATAGTAAAGTCATTTTCACAAACGAGTAGACTGAGGCACGGGCACTGTAAAGGGCAATCAGTACTCAAGAGTCCTGGCAAGCTTGGTCTCCTGTAGTCTATTCTATCCATCAGAACACGGTGCTTCTGAAGGTTGAAAAAAAAACAACAAACAAACAAAAAACCCCGCAGGAACTCTGGGATGTCCTGGGTAAGAACAAACGGAGAAGAGTGAGGGTCTGCACCTCCCCGGATGGAGGCGAGGCGGAAAAGCCCCCACACCCCTCAACTCCCGAGGTGCGCCGGCCTACGGGAAGAAATCCAATCGCAGCATCTCAGCTTGCCTCCTCCACCCAAGGCTGACCTGCAGTGATTTCCACACACTCCACCCTCCCCGAAGACGACTCCCCACCACCGGCCCAGGGCAGCCGTCCGCTCCCGAGGCTTCTCCTTTGTGAGGCTCCACAGCCGCCGCCCCACACTGGGCCTCCGGGGAAAAGCCACCGCCCCCACCCGCCATATTTCCCTGAAAGGCGCCCGCGCTACGGCTCCCTGGATTCCGCCCTCTCCCGAGCCGCCGGTGCCGCTCCTCACCCCACCCCACCCAAGGGCCCTCCACCGCCCGCCACGGTCCCCCAAAGCTCCCGTGGGGCCTGCGCGCCGGGAGACGGCACCCGCCATCGCCTCCCTCCCCCTCCCCCGCCCGGGGACTCGCCCTCCCCCTTCAGCCGCCATTTTACAACCAACTCCTCCACCCTACGCCCCGGCCTGCTGGCTGGCGAGCGCCTGCAAGCTAAGGACACCGGAGGGGTCAAATTCCCGGGCCCGGGAGACTCCCACCGCCTCGGGAGCCCGCAGGCCATTTCCTGCTTCCCGACCCACGTCCCGAGCCAGGCTCGGAGACGATGCCGCCATTTTGTCTCCGGTTCCCGGCCTCTGTGGGCGGCGGCGGAGGGTCCGAGACTTCCAGCCCCCCGACACCTCCCCAACTCACCGTCGTATCGCTCGGCCTGCTCTGCCAGCTTCGCCTGGTACACCAGATCCTCCCGATCATCCATAGCGGCAGCGGCTCCGGCAGGGTCTGCGCGACGGATGGAAGCGGATAGCGTCTCCGACTCTCAGCTTCTCGCTCCGCGTCCGAGCAGTAAAAATGGCGGCGCCTCAATCCGGGACTTCCGCCTGCGCACGCGGACAACTGCTCAGCTCTATGGCAACCGCTCCCTGGCAACTGGAGCGGGGGGGCGGGTCCGGGAGTTCGGCGCCAGAAAAGGCTGGAACCAGCCCGACGGACGCCCCTCCTCCGTCGGCTCCGCGGGCGGCCCCGCAGCAAGGCGGGAACTGCAACTGCGAAGAAGAATGGCCCCGGAGAGCCTGAGAGGCTGGAGGCGAGGTCGGCCTAGGCTGGGCGAGGGGAAAGAGCCAGGAGCCTGTTCTGTGGCCGCGGGTCGAGGACTGGCCTGCGGAGGAAAGACAGAGCGAGAGGCTTGATGGGTTCCTGCAACCGCAGGCCTTTCTCATTGAAATCCACGCACTGTGCACTCTTGCACGGTTTTTCTCATCCATACGCCTTTTTCAGGTCCTTTTAACCTCTATGTAAAGAATTGAAAGGTGGGGGACTGGAGAGATGGCTCAATGGTTAAGAGCACTGGCAGCTCTTCCAGAGTACCTGGGTTCAATTCCCAGCACCCAAATTGGCAGCTCACGACTGTAACTCCAGTTCCAGGGGATCCAACACCTTCACACCAATGCACGTAAAATAAAATAAATTATAAAGAATCTTATTTATTTTTGAATTATTTTAAATTACTATAAAATTATTTATAAATTTTATTTATTTTTAAAATAAAATAAATTATAAAGAAAAAAAAGAGGGGGGTGCGCTGGGGGGAAGGTGGGGGGGGAGAGCAAGGGAATCCGTGGCTGATATGTAGAACTGAATTGTATTGCAAAATAAAAATAAAAATAATTAAAAATAAAAAAAATATTGGAAAAGAAAAAAAAGAATTGACATTTGAGCAAGGGAGGGCTCCAGTCTTCATTCATCAGCTTTTCTTTTGCTCACACACTGTAAGCATTTTCTTCTCCCCTTCAGCCGAATCTTATCACTTTGACCCATCATAGACAGGATTTTTGTTAAAAGCCCCTGGTTTTAGCTGGGCGGTGGTGGCACACTCCTTTAATTACAGCACCCCAGAGGCATTGGCAGGCAGATCTCTACAAGTTCTCGAGGCCAGCCTAGTCTACGCAGTTCCAGGACAGCCAAAGCTACACAGAGAAACCCTGTCTCTGAAAAACAAAACAAAACAAAAAGTCCCAGGTTTTGCCTTGGATGGTGTCGCATGCCTTAATCTCAGCATTAAGGAGGCAGGAGGATCTCTGAGTTGGGGACCAACCTGCTCTATAAAGTGAATTTCAGGTCAGCCAGGGACTATACTGTGAGACCCCCATCTCAAGAAAAAAAGCAAGGAAGGGTGTCTGTGTGTGTCTCGTGTGTGTGTGTGTGTGTGTGTGTGTGTGTGTGTGTGTGTGTGTGTGTCTGTCTGTCTGTCTGTCTGTCTAGTTTTCCTGGGCATGTGTAGTAATATCACCCCTCCCCACCAGTACTATAGTGGCTGAGGCTGAAGCAGGCTGGATTAAGGATCAGGCACTCAAAGCCAATCCAGTCTTCATAGGGACACAAGGGGAAAAGGGGGAAAGAGAGTGACATGCCTAGTTTGGAGTGCAAGGTGCACCAGAGGTGGAGTAAGGGCAAAAAGACATTAATTAGCTAGAGATAAATAACCCTCAATGGGCATTGCTTCTCTTGCAAAGGCCGTCATACTCTGCTTCCCAATGGATTTTCAACATCTTATTCTTTTTTTTTTTAAAGATTTATTTATTATGTATACAGAAGAGGGTGTCAGATCTCATTACAGATGGTTGTGAGCCACCACGTGGGTGCTGGGAATTGAACTCAGGACCTCAGGAAGAGCAGTCGGTGCTCTTAACCTCTGAGCCATCTCTCCAGCCCTCAACATCTTATTCTTAATATCTGTTGCTGAGACGTGGAGGAAAAGGGCCTCAAAATAAGTGTGAAATAAAAAGGTTGGAATCATCTGGGCAGTGGTGACGCACACCTTTATTCCCAGCACTCTGGAGGCAGAGGCAGGAGGATCTCTGAATTCGAGACCAGCCTGGTCTACAAAGTGAGTTCTGAGACAAGACAAGCTGTCACACAGAGAAATTTTGTCTCGAAGGGAAAAAAAAAAATGTTGGAATCAAATTATGATAGGCCTGAGGTCACAAACCAAGAGGCATGTGTCTTAGTCTGTGAATGGAAGAGAATTATTTTGTTGTTGCTCAAGTGCTGGGGACTGACCCGGGGCCTCCAGCATGTGCTTTAACATTGAGTTATAGTCCTATCCAGGAGAGCTCTATTTTGATGGTTCTGAGTAGAAGGTGACAGCATCATAATTACACTTAAGAAAAGTATTGAGGGTTGGGGATTTAGCTCAGTGGTAGAGCGCTTGCCTAGCAAGCTCGAGGCCCTGGGTTCGATCCTCAGCTCAAAAAAAAAAAAAAAAAGAAAAGAAAAGTATTGCACATTTACAGAAGTGATTCATGCCTATAATTCTAGCACTGTGGAAAAGGAGACAGAAGAACTGCAACAAGTTCTAGGTCAGCCTGGACTAAAATAATACCCTACCTCAAAACACACACAGAAAAAGAAAAAGAAAACATTTCAGTAAAACAAAGCAGTAATTGAATAAGAATGGTAAATTATCATATTACAAAATATAAGCAAAAGGTAATCGATAATAGCCTCTAGATAGAGAGGAAAGGATGGACAGGAATAGCATCACAGAGAAGCCACAAGACTTTGTAGGTGACCAGCTGTGGGAAATAATGCAAAATTTGATTTCCCATCTCCCCCTCCTCCCGCCCCCATCATAGGAATGAGGAACAGTACAAATAACAAAAAAGTAGAAATACAGAGCTGAATATGGTAACTCACACTTACAATGCCTGCACTGAGAGGCTGAGGCAGAAGGATTGCCATGACCTTGAAGTCAGCCTTGATTACACAGTTCCAGTACCAGAAAGTAAGGCTTTGTCTAAAAAGCAAACAGGAAAGCCAAGGGTGGTGGTGCAGGCCTTTAATCCCAGCACTCCGGAGGCAGAGGCTGGCGGATCTCTGGCCAGCCCGGTCTACAGAGCAAGTTCCAGGACAGCCAGGTTTACATAATGAGACCCTGTCTCAAAAATTACAAAGAATAAAGCCAGGCGGTGGTGGCACACACCTTTAGTCCCAGCACTCTGGAGGCAGAGGCTGGTGGATCTCTGTGAGTTCAAGGCCAGCCTGGTCTACAGAGTGAGTTCCAGGACAGCCAGGACTGTTTCACAGAGAAACCCTGTCTTGAAAAAATAAATAATAATAATAATAACAACAATAATTGAATAAAGAACAGGACCCTAGGAAGAGTTGCTGGCTGATAGGATACAGAGGAAAACATTAGTTCTCTTTAGCACATGATGTTTCTGAGGCTGCCCAAAAGTTATGCAGGTAGAATAACAAGCATGGAATTGAAAAGGAGCATTGACAAACCTGGCATGGTGGTATATACCTGTAATCCCAGCACTGAAGACACCACGGCAGGAAGATTAGGAGTTCAAGGCCACCCTCAGCTACACATCAAGTGTAAACCCTTCCTGGGTTTTGCAGGATGCATTTTCCTAGCAATCAAGATATGTAAGTATATTATATCACTTAGGTTATTGTATCAGGTTGGTTTTGTTAAGATTTATTTATTGTAATTATGCATATAGGGTTTTACCTGTACAGAGGTGTGCATTGTGTGTGTCTGGTGCCCTTGGAGACCAGAAGAGGACTTCCTTGGATCCCCTGGTAACAGATGATGGTAAGGCAGCATGTGTGTGCTATGACTTGAACCCGGGTTCTCGGCAAGAGCTCTCAACTGCTGAACATCTCTCCATCCCCTGTAAATAGTTTTTAAAAATCAGGTTGGAAAGAGGAACTGAAGGGCTACAAAATAGAAAATGTAACTGTAAACTATTCCAATAAATCTGGAGGAAGACAGGGAGTTTGAACAAAACCAAACAAATAAACACTCCCTGAGTTACATGAAACTGTCTCAAAATAGAAAGGGAAAGAACGAGGGGAGTGACAGACAGACGGACGGCAACCCAAGAGGCTATCCAGGTGAATGAGCACGTGTCCACAGTCCAGGCCCTTCAGAAGATGGAGATCACTTGAGTTCAGAAGTTCCAGGCCAGCCTACAAAACACAGACCCTTCTTCGAAAAGGTGAGCAGCAAGGCTTTAAGGAAGGAGCCACAGGATGGCGCAGGGGGTGAAGAACTTGGTGCCAAGAGGACCAGAGTTCAACACTCAGATGCCACAGCATAGAAGAGAACTGACTTCCTCATCCATGCCACGGCACATAGGTGTGCATACACACATATGCACACTAAATAAAATACAATAAATAAATACAAAATACGTAGAGGTAAAAGAGAACCAAACATAAAAAGTCAGGAAATCAGTACTTGATTAAGTTAAAAAATGATTTTTTTTATTTTTATTATCAGCTTGATACAGTACAAATTCTTCTCCTAATAGTGAAATGTTTCACTGAGGCTTGCCCAGTGATTGAGTAAAACCAAAACTTATTATAAGCCACAGTAATCCTAGGGTACCCCCTGCTATGTAGCCTCCCTGGTTCTGTGGGTTGCAGTCTGATTGTTCTTTGCTTTATATCTAGAATCCACTTATGAGTGAGTACATACAATGTTTGTCCTTCTGGGTTTGGGGTACCTCACTCAGGATGATATTTTCTAATTCCAGAATTTTAAGATTTCTGTTTTCATCTTCATGTATGTGCACCACGTGTGTGTGCCTGGTGTCCTCACCAGACCCCCTAGAATTGGAATTATAGACACAAATGGCTGTGAGCCATCGTGTGGTGCTGGGAACTGAACCCAAGTTCTC